CGCGCCCCGGACCGCTCTGGAGGGAGAAGTCGCCGGGTCGCAGCCCGCCCGCCGCCGCGGAGACCCGTGAGTGCGTGGGGGGCCCCGAGACCCGACAGTCCCCACGGCTTCCGCACCCACCCCCGCTCCTCGCTCGCTGGACGCTCCACGTTGCTGTCGCGCCCCCCGCCCCACACCTGGGCAGCATTTCCCTTCCCCTTCCCCCGGGAACCCCCTGCCCCCCGCGCTCCATTTCCCCCGCCGCACACTCGCGCTCAGCCTGGGTACCCCAGAGCCCCCCTCTCCCTCCTCCAAGTGTGGCCGCTCCTGGGTGGGGTGCATTCCCCCCTGTCCGCCCCCCTCAGTTCTCAATCTCCTAGAGACTGGCTAGAATTTTCTTGTTCCTCCAAAACACCTAACTCTCATCACCACTGAGTAAATCAGAGGCAGGAGGGATACAGGCCTTGTTTTTCTGCTGCTTTTCCCTTGTGCGGGGAAGGGGGAAGGGGGGCGGGGGTGCAATAATTAATAGGGTTTGTATCTGGCCGGGTGAAGCCTGAGGGATGAAGGGTGGACAGTCCCCTTTTGAACCGGTCACTGCTGGCTGTCCTCTGGCCACTGAGCCGGAATTCACCATTTGGGCTTAAGCTCTTTATCCTCTTTAGTGTTTTCAGGGAAAACTGGGCCAGAAAAAAAGTACCTTGAGAGCAATAGCAGTGAGTGGACTGATGGGGTGAGGTGCCCGGGAGGAAGAGCCCTGGGCTCCTTCCCTCCTGTCCAGGGGATGGACTGTGTCCTTGACCAGAAAGGGAGGGGAAGGTGGGGGCAGCGAGAGGAAGGGCAACTGGCAGGCCCTTTCCCAGCCCCCAGGGAACCAGAACCCCATCCAGCAGGCTTCACCATGGGGGCCAGTGGCGAGGGTCTTGGGGGCCTGCTCAGTACACTAACCTTTTTCTCCTCCCCCCGCACCCCCAACCCCAGGAGTGGGTCCCTCATCTTAGATTTTCCAGCAGAAAAACACCCCTGTTGCTTTCTTGGGCACCTGTCCCCATCCCCCTCTTAAGGGGAGGGGGAAGCAAGCTTGTGTGGAGGGAGGGATTAGAGAGGTTTAGCGCTCGGTAGGGGAGCTTTGCTGGGAATCTGGTAAGTCTGGTCGGAGAGCAGGCCTTGCAGTGGGAGGAGATGCAAACAGTTTTAAGTGTTGGAAGGGGACGTGCAGGTGTCAGAGGCACCGTTTTTCCTCCCCTGCCCGGGACCCTTTTCCCATGTTCCTCTCCGGGTCTGGTTACTGGGACTTGGATTAGAAGAGGCGTGAGGTTTGGGCCCCGCTGGCATCGGCCGTCAGATTGTCGGCCTGGCGCCTCCCCGCAGTTTATCTGGGAATTTCTTTGGCCAAGAGGCCCGGGGAACTGGCTTTTCATTCCTGCCCTTACTTTCTTGGCTGTTGGGATGCTGGAGCCGAGCCCGCTGGGCGTTGAATGAAAAGGCTCTTTTCTTTTTGAATCCACCGAACCTACAGCAACTCCAGACGGAGACCACCAAGCCCCAGGAATACAGATTAAAGCCGCAGGGGCAGCGGGGTGGGAATGTGACCTTATCCATTCCCGTCCGCCGCCCTCAGCCGGGAAGAACTCATTGGAAGCAGATCCTTCATTCAGCGGTCATGGGAGGTGGTGGGGA